TACCCTGGGCATCCTTGGGGTTCATCCAGGAGCAAGATGCTGGAGCTGCAGTGGGTGAAGCCCCGTTGGGTTTCGCTGGGTGCCTGTGCTGACCCCCCCCGGCTCTGCTCCTCAGAGGCCATCGCTCCCTACTGGACCTATCCCGAGAAGATGGAGAAGAAGCTCCACGCCGTCCCTGCCGCCAAAACGGTGAAGTTCAAGTGTCCGTCGAGCGGGACACCCAACCCCACGCTGCGCTGGCTGAAGAACGGCAAGGAGTTCAAACCCGACCACCGCATCGGGGGGTACAAGGTACCGGAGCCTGGGGGAGGGGCACCCCGGGTGGCGCAGGGCAGCATCCTGCGATGGGGAGGCAGCCCCTTGCCCTGTGGGTGCTGTGGGCAGCTGCTCTGGGCTCAGTCTGGCTGGGTGCAGGCTCTGCACACCTCAGGGGGCCAGAGGGCTTGCTCTGGGGAGGGGGGAGGATCGGGAAAGGACTCTGCAGCTTAAGAGGCACCGAGCCCCCAGCCCACACAGCCCCCAGCAAGGGCAGATGGGCCCCTCTGACATTCCGGTTGCGAAATAGCCCCACGGCAGTGACCTGCTTCTGGGTCATGTTTGCACCAGCTCAGTCTCAGGGGGAGGGGGCCGGGTGCGGAAGCCAGCCTTCCTTTGCCGGCTTCGCCTAATCCCCTGCTGAGGAGAGGGGGGTCTTGGCGTCCCTAGCAGGCGCGGGGGCTCCCAGGGGTGTCTGGGTAGACCTGGGGATGCTGGGGTGGACGGGCCCCCTCCGATGCCCAGTGGTGGTCGGCAGAAGCTCTGCCAGCAGCCCAGAGGACCGGTTTGGTGGGGACAGTGCCCCAGCCAGCATTTGGGGGCCACGTTCAGACCCTGAACTGGGCTGTCCCAGCACCCGCAGCAGCTCCAGGCTGCAGGACCCCCCCCGGCAGGATGGGGGGCTCGGCTTTCCCCTTCTCACAGCTCCAGTCTCGCAGTGGGGTTGCTGCTGCTGCAGAAGAGCTGCAGCGGTGGGACCAGCAAGCCAGGATGCCCCCCCCCGAGCACCTCTCCTCCCTAAAAGAGCGGGTGGGCACGA